GGGGGGGGGAGCTGAGTGCCATTTATCAAGCTCCAATTAAAGGGTCTCTTTCAGAAAGGCTCTGTGGACCAAAGAAAGGAATGTTTATACTGCATCTGGGTGATGGGCTGAGCCGGGGGAAAGAATGGACGGCCCGTGGAGAGAGCTGTTTGCTGCCAAACTGACCACTGAGGCCAGAGACTGTTAGTCGAGGAAAGATGGCAGAGATCACCACTTCAGATCAATACTAAACGATGAAAAGACTGGCAAAAACGAAGCAGCTGATAATAGCAAGGCGTTTTACTGAGACACTGCCGCGTTCTGATGAGAAATAAAAAATGTTCCTATGAATTCTCACCATTAAGAGGAGGGCTAGGTAGAGCATCATGGACGTTTCTCTCCAGAGGGTAAGAGATGAGCTCTGATTGTGGGCAGGAGAGACTCTTAGCCTGGAAACTCTGACAACCTGCTACACACACACACACACACACACACACACACACACACACACACACACACACACACACACACACACACACACATACACACACACACACACACACATCACATGACACACACACACCCTCTGTCTCTCACACACACACACACACACACACACACACACACACACACACACACACACACACACACACACACACACACACACACACACACACACACACACACACACACAGTTAGAGGCTTTTAAAGGAAGTTTAAAATACTGGATAATTATTAGAAGAGCAACTAACTTACTGGTGGGTAAGGAGTACTTCAGCTGTGAATCCTTTTTCCTATACGGTGAAAAAGATAAAAACAATAGTTAAAGTATTGCACATACAGTCCCTGACTACTCGAGTGTCCATTTGTGCCCAATCTATATAGTAGTATGGTAAGAAAACTGTCTAGAAATCCGTCAGGGACTATTTGGGGAAGAATCTCACAGTACAACTTAGACCATGAAAACTCACACTTTTATTTATAGTAAAAGAAGAAAATGCAAACATTGTGTTTATTAAATGCATTTTAATATGATATTTTTATATGTTGACTAAGTATATTCAACTTGTTATGAGCTTATATACTTAATACTTGATTGTATTCGCAGTAGTTTCTCAGATACAGCCATTTTCTCATTATACTACAGTCTTTGGGCATTTGGGACTAGTGTTTTCCCATGTGTGAAACAAATAAATATATCATTGATAAGAAAAACCCCCCTATTAACCAAATGTTTGGGCTGATTTGTTCAAATTGTGATTATGCAAGCCTAAAAAACAGGTTAATAAGTAGTGACATTATTCTATGTGTTATAAATCCATTTTGGTCAGAGTTTGCAAACTGAGTATGACATAAGATAACTGAGAAAAATGTCAACGGTTTTAAAATACAGTACCTTCGCTTCCACCAGACCCCAGCCATCAAACAACTGCCGCACATTATCAGCCCCAGCACCACTCCCACGGCCACTATCACCGGCTGGCTGGAGCCTGCAGGGACACAAGTGTCTGAGTGAGTAAACAGTTGTATAAGGGTGAGCAAGGAATGTCGTTTATTGCAATGTACACAATGTGGAGTGGGAGAAGAACGTATAACATTGGTTTTACTTATCTGATGTATTTTCTTCTTAACTAGACTGGCATGTATTTGAATTGTACACATGTGAAATAAAAAAAATGATACATGTACATACTTAGTCTTGTCTCCACTAACACTGGGCCCTCTGTAGGGGTCGGGGGGAGGGTGGGCCGCGGTGTGCCCATATTAACTTTGATGGGTGGAAATTCTGCTGGAAAAGTAGGATAAGAGAAAATCAGACACAACCTCACACAGCTTAGACAGCTCATGTGATAGCTGGTTCTTGATAAGTAGTAATACACACCAGTAGGTGGGCGTGACCTTGGGGTGGCCTTGTCAACGGGACAGCCCAGGACCTGCACCTGAACGGAAGCGCGACCCTGCCAGCTCAGCGGCTGCAGCCGGAAAAACCGAGCCACCACAGGAGGGAAGAAACTGTTGAGGACTGTGTGATGGCCGTCAGTGTAGGCCTGAAACACCTGGGGACCAAACAGTAAGTTACTTATTGACAGAGAACAGCAGGAAGCCTGGAGTACAGACTCAGTTCAGTACGAACCATTTAGGTGAGCATGGTACAAGGCATACCTTTTTTTCTTTGCTGAGAGCACCTTTGTAAAGCTTCCAAGTTTTCCTGTCCTTGCTGAAAAAAAGACTGAAGGATTCTATGTAGTATCCGTTTGATCCCGTTGTTATTATTCCTAAAAAATCAGAACACAACTTTGAATGAGATAAAACATACCACGAAATATCCAATATCAGAAAACAAACAAACACATTTTAGCCAACGGAAACATTTAAAGTATCCATCTCCCTTGAAAGCAGCACGTGTTGTGCTCTCAGTACTTTTAAGAATTCTCCACCTTGTCTGAAAAAGGCCACTGAATGAAAAGACTGTTTTTTTACTGATTTGTTTTCTGTTCCATCAATAAGGTGAGGCTCTAAACATTTTCAATAAAGAGAATGTTGGCAGCAGACAGAGAGAAGTAACCATGGATAGTTTAGCTTGGGGACTTTATTTGCTAATTTTGATGGTGAGCAGTACATTGTGTGGGTACAAGAAAAGCAAGTGTTACAAATAGTGTAAAAGAGAGAGATGTAGTAAGCTACACTTTTGGAAGAATGTTACTAATTAAGGCGTGGTGTGCATGTAACCTTCATTTAGAGATATGTTGCAATGTCTCCCAGTATATTGGTTACTACTGCTGACAGAAACAGGTCACAAATATAAAGTTCCACTTTTTGAAAAAGGCACGAATATTTTTTCCTATCAAACATTATTCAAATAGTAAACAATAGCGTGTTTGTTGGGGAACAGTGAGGTGGATACATCTTTTGTATTATTGCACTAGGAAAGTATATGTGGGGTTGACTAATAATTAATGACTGTTGCCATGTATATATGACTTAGGGAAGTCAACCATTGATGTGTTTTTAATTATTGTCGGAAAACAACGGAAGTCATTGACACAGAACAATAACATCCTGCTAACCAGGCTTCAGTTGAACAGAAAAATCGTTATTTTTCATGGAATTTGTTCAAATAAAAAAATATCGGCAGACATATCTTCCAAAGAGCTTCGCATTCAGATGTTTTAATAAACATATTTTGCACTGATTATTTCATTCAAACATTTGTACCTGTGATGGTGCTTCTATCACTCAGCCCCAGCTCCACCCATGGGTTCGGGTCGTTACCGTCCGCTGCCCAGTGCAGGGACTCATGGCTAGAAACCATGTTTGATGAGGACCAGAACAGTGTGTGCTCTCGACTGTTTTTATCCCAGAAAGATGAGGCATTTAAACCGGAGACACTCAGGATGTTGTTGCATTCTATTTGGGAAGCAGAGGAAAATATGAATAAATAAAAGTAATTCATTATTTAACCCAGAGTGTTTTTAGATAAACATAATTGACTACGAAACATGAGTTCTTCACTGCAGAGCATTTGTTTGCAGACTAGTGTTCACTGTGATAAATCAAGAAGTTCATTTGGTAAAATCACTTGTATAAAATAATAAAATATGACAGCATGACTTGAACATTTGACTGCAGGAATGTAAACAATGTGTTGCTTGTAGCAAATGGGTTAAAACTCGCACAAATACTTGGTGTGCCTTTGGAAAATTCTAACAGCAAAAAGTGATAAATGTCATGTCATACCTTGACTGAAGAGCAACTTCTTTTCAGATAATGATCCCCTGTCAAAGAGAACAGTTGAAAAGGTCAGTGCATCCATGTGAAACCAAGCATTAACTCATTTTGAGCTTCATAACAGCCAGTTTAACATTACAGCAATATCTCATTTTGAGTACAATAACAGCAGACACACGTTTTTGAAAGGATTCCATTGGAAAAGGTTGATTCATAAAGTGTAAGACTCCTCCCTCGGTTCACAGTGACTCGCCCTCCCAGAGTGTCAGACGCAGCTCCAGCATGGACTGCAGTCTTGCACAGGACTGAGGTCTAAAGCAGAGGGGGACATGAAGTTCATTAATAACTTGGGCTCATATATAATAGCTTTGCAAAAGGCAATGTGGTTTACTTACATCTCTGTAACCCTTTTCCGAGTTTCCCCAAACATCCCCTGTGACATCCTTACATCCAGCGGGGCAGTACACACTGAGAAGCAACAGAATAACACGTGAGAAACATATCACTGATCTACTAAAACACAATCTATTAAGGGAAATGTAAAGGTTACCTCAAAAGATGTGTGCTAGAATGAGATCCTCGTTTTAAACAGGAAATTAGATCTGCAACAGCAAAACAGACATAGATATATTCAAATGAACACTCCTGAGAACTTAGAAAACATCGCCTGAATATACTGGTGGACTGGAATAGTATGTTGTGGGATCCAGTAATTTAGGCTTACATAATTGTCCACCACGCACAGACGGACTCAGTGTGAGACGGTTCTAGCAGGCTGCACGGGTGCTATATTAGGGGATGAGCGGGTTGTGACTAAGCCCTTTGTTTCTGACTACGTCACAGTTCACGAGTACAGTGGATGGGCCTCGTGTGATCACAATTAACAGACAGTGGTTTGTATGTCTGAACATGGGCTTAGCTCCAGACACTGACGGATTCATAAACAACTCGGGACAAACAGGAAATGATGATACATACTGTACAGTACGGAAATTATCTCTAAGTATAAACTAGCATTCAGACCAAACAAGTCCACATGATCATTAAAATGATACACATAAAGAAATGTGACTTTTCTAATTTAATGTGAAAAATCAAGAGACGTTAAAACATGTCTCTGTACACATTACAAAAATCTGTTGCATTAGTAGAGAGGGTAATAATATGTGGTGTTTATAACTGATAAACATGGGATGGTAGTGGGCTTGTGGTATTAATGGTCCGCTGAAGAGGAGGGGGAGGGAAAATAAAGAGACAGGCTGAAGCCAGAGGCCTCTCTCCATTCAGCGTGAGAGAAGGAGTCTCCTCCAGCTCTGTGAGCAAACAGGCCAGATCAAAGACAGCCATGGAGGCTGAATGCCAATAAGAAGTGACTCACAACTTACTAACGCACAACGCACACACTACACAAGGACAAATATTCACACGGACATTGGTGATATAATTACACCAGTGTCAACTTGAGCAAAGCTGAGAAATCCGACTCGTTATAAATCAGGCATTTGTAAAGTTGAGCTCCACATGCTAAGCTAGATCAAACAGTACTAGTTGAAGAAAATGAGGGTCATCGAGGATGGGCGTGCTCTGAGGAAGGAGTGTGTTCAGATGTCTGTGGACAGGTATAGTGATGGCATCATGATATTTGATGGCAGTCATGATATTTGTCGCCGCGGATGGTTTGATCAAGTTGCATCATTAGCTAGTCTAGCTTTGAATTGAGCTCTGTATTTAATTTCCCTAATGAATTGTATTTAAACTTTTTAGTTAGTATAAATTGTATTGGCCTAATGATTTAATAATTCAATCTGTTTTCCTGCTTGGTATATGTAGATATATACCAAGTCCATGTTTTTATCTATTTCTAACCCTGACTGGTGTTTCCTCACAGTAAATTATTGAGATTTATAACAGCGTATCTTCAGTTCCTGTTTTTATTCCTAGTAAATGCTTATTTATTTATTTAGTGTTTAATGTATAGTGCGTGTAAGGGGAAGCACTTTTTGTTGCAGTTCACTTGTCTGAGTACTGCCAAACAGATCAGGGGCCGTATTCACAAAGGATCTTAGGGCTAAAAGTAGCTCCTAACTGGCGAATTTAGGAGAAACTCCTAAACATAATGGGCGTGTCAGTCTTAAATTTAGGACTCCTAATTTTATTCACTAAGAGCAATTCACAAAGTATTTTAGGCCTAAAAGTAGCACCTACGTTTAGGAGAGCTTAAAAGTCCTCGAGAGGACTCCTAACTCAGTAAGACCTATTCACAAAGAATCTGAAAATGGCTGCGAGACGAAATGTTTTGGAGACAATGGAAGACTGTGAATTGATCAAGAGATATAGGCAAAATCGTGAGGGTATCAAACTTGTTGTGGAATTAGTGCGGGATGCAATAACATCCCCGACTAACAGGAATAACCCGATTAGTCCGGAAATAAAATGTTTGGCAACACTACGATATTTAGCAACAGGGAAAATGCAACTTTGCAATGCCGACGATTTAGGAATATCGCAACCATCAGTCAGCCGTGCCATAAACCAAACCATCAACGCGCTCTCTAGACCACATATCATCCAACAGTTTATCCGGTTTCCTTTGGACAATCAACAACTACACAGGATCAAAGCCAACTTCATGGCAATGCAGGTATGCCCGGTGTGGTCGGAGCTATTGACGGGACGCACATAAAAATAAATTGCGCCATCAAAAGATGAGGACGTGTTCGTCAATAGAAAGAAAGTACATTCCATCAACACGCAGATTGTTTTCATTCATCATGATAGGGGGGCTTTAACGGCGGTATGGGCTGTTATTGAAAGTGTTTAAGTGCTGGAAATATGCTCATTGGATAATAGTTTGCGGGGTGCTTTTAATTGCCTCCTTGATTTAATGCAATTTACGTATTTTTATTGTTTGCTCTCTCTCTTTAACGTGCATATACAACGTCATTTTCGTGGTCTGCACAAACTTGTCATCATGCGTGTATTCTGCTAACTGCACTGTCCATAACTATTTGATAGGAATACATTTCTAGCCTAGGCTATTTCCTTGTTTTTCGGTGATTTAGTGGGCTCGTTTGTGGGATGTTGCGGATGAGTTTCACCGAGACCGCCTGCTCTGAACAACCAATCACCGTACTGACCGCTTCTAAACTCATGCACGAGAATCGACGTAATCCATAGCAACGGCGCGTCACTCTTAGTTCACTCTTAGTGATTTATCCTTAGTATGAGTAGGTCTCAGCGGCTTTGTGAATAACTTTTAAGAAAAAACTCCTACGTAAAATGTTTTAGCGCGAGTTAGGAGCACTCCTAGCGGTAAGATAAAATGCTTTGTGAATACGGCCCCAGGTCTATTGGCTTCATAATAAACAGATGTGTTACCTGGATACTGGTCAGTGGCATAGGACAGGAGGAACCCTCGCCCGGAGCGATGAGGGCCTGACTTGAAGGTTATCGTCACTTCATTGCTTTTAAGTGTCACATTCTTCTGTGATGCATCGAGCTTCCCACACACTGGACCTGGGAACGCAGAGACATAAACTACATTTGTAAAAGAACATAAACACAGATACAAACAGCAAACTACATCCTGGTGCAATACAGTTAGTCCCTTTTTCAGCATTTATCAACAGATGTAGATAATTTAAAGAAGGCTCTAATATTGTAGTTTTCCGATTCACATTTGTATTGTGTGCCGCTAATGTGACCTGTTTACATGTTTTTCTGTAAAAAAAAGCTCTTTATTTTTCTCATACTGCCTGTTAGGGTCTTTTCACCCTCTGTCTGAAACCAGAGCCCAGTCTGCTCTGATTGGTTAGCTGGCTGGCTCTGTTGTGATTGGTCAACCGCTTGTCTGATGTCCCGCCCCTTATCACGTACAATGTGTTGGAGCGCTAACCAATAAAGGCATGAGAGCCAGTGTCCAGGTAACGGTACGTCCACACGGCAGCGTGCGTTGAAGCTTGCCGGTGGACGTGTCTGGCGCACGACCAACAACCAATCACATTTAATCTCCTGGCCCGGACACACAAGCACACGGTTTGATTGGCTAGCGCTTGTACTGGCATATGATTTGATTGGCTGACGCTTCCGTCGAAGCTTGAAAAGTTGAACTTTTCTCAACTTTTGAAGCGAGCAACGTAGACAAAGCGACGCGACGGAACCACAATGTAGTTTGGCAAAGCCTGACATCACCCCATTCAAAGTGAATGGGAAACGTCTCCGTTGAAGCAACGCACGCTGCCGTGTGGACGGGCATTAGAGAGACAACAACTTTGTGAAATTGGTTTAGTATAGAAAGAGAACGCTGCGTCCTCGAAATTTTGGACGTTGAATTCGAAGGACCGAATTTGACCATAACATTAACTTTTTTATTTACTTGAAATGTTAGATCTGAATTTGATCATTCGAATTTGAGCAAACTGAATATATTTAGTTTGAAATATTAAAACTTGAATTTTGAGATCTGAATTTGTGAACACTGAACAACATACATTGAAATTCAGCTTTTTAAATTGCGTATCAAGATATTTCAGATTTGAATTTGAATTGTTTTTTTAAATCAGAAACATGGTTTTCAAAGTAAAATATTTCAATGCAATAAATTCGGTGTCTGACAAAATTCAAATAATTCTATCTCATATTTGCTTCCATATGCAGACAGCAGCATCTGAACAGGCTGTAATGGCTTGGGGGAATTCAACACCCACAACTCATGTCAACTTTAAATGTTTGTTTTTGCCAATGACAGGCACAGATGGTTGTCTGACAATATTTTGATAAGGACCCTACTGGGAAATAAAGCATTTCCTTTCAATAGTCAGTCTAATTCCCCTCGTGGCTTCCTGCCATGTTTGCCTCCCATACAGACACAACAGTTTAATGAAGAGCAGAGCCTTGTAGATGCATGTAAGAACAGCTCTCGGTCTGAGAAAACTACATGAAAATCATGAGCCAGGTATCAGGAATCCGATAATAAAACACAAAGGCAGCACAGCAGATCATTTCTCTCTCTGAATCTCTCAGCCTTTATTTTGGTGTCTTGTCAAATATTCATGCCCTCGAGACACGACTTGGTACACCTGGTTGAAGAACGGGCATGCGTCTGTTGCGAAATTGGGTTTGCCTCTTCTGTCAATGTGTCAAAAGAATGGCATGCTCTGTGTGGATTCCACAATCAAGCTGGGAGGACGTCAGTAATAAAGACATGGAACATAAGTCTATAAGCAGGTGTTTAAGGAAATAATCGACACAGGAGACAGTAGTCTGTAGACACAGGGATCAGACATCTACCGGCCAAGCTTAAAGAAAAGTGCCATATCCAATCAGCGGTGAACAAGCTTACCCAGAGTGAGCTCTCCGCTCTTGTCTGTGATGACCAGAGAGCCATTCCTGCAGTCTGGACTGCTCTCGATGTCGAAATCCCCAAACAGCAGCCGCAGCGTGCGCCCCTCTGGCACCCGCAGCCTCCATTCACACCAGGTGTTACTGGGGTACGTGCCGGGGTAGTTCTGAGAGGCCAATGTGCCCGACTCTGTGCCCAGAAGGGAATGTCCACAGCCATTACCTGGACAAATAAATAGATGAATAAATAAGGAAGCTGTGGCAAGAGAGAAACACCAGTTCAAAAAGTAAATCCAACCTTAGGACAAGTATAGGGACAGATTCATTACATTTTTCAAAAATGTTTAAATGTCATAACAGATTTATCTCAATAAGTCATTATGATAATCAATGTCAGGAAAAGTTAAGAATTGCACCTATTTTAAGGAAAGTTGAAACCAGCTGGAAGTAGTGAATAAATTGACCTTTTCCTTATTTTTATTCACATGACTTTAAAATAGTAACTGATTATCAGAAGTTTTGCCTATTATTCATTTTGATTGATTTATTGCTTTAGTTGTACGGGGTACTGTCAAGAGTGGATGATTATCAAAGTATTTTATAAATGATACGTCTACATTTTGAATATGTGTGCTGGTCAAAGCTGAGCAGCACACGCTTAAGTAAAGCTAAAATCACAAAACCACACACAGTCTGGCCCTTAATTCCCTAAATAAATACACAGAATCCCAAAATATTAAGGGCTTTGTTAATGTACTATTTCAGATGAATAATAATCTCGTGTGAACATGCTCAGCAGACCGGGGCATGTTTATACTCTCGTGAGATGACACAACTGTCTGCTAGGGAAGTACTCCAACACAAGACCTGTACACTGGATTTAAGTACAAAAATAGGTTTTGCTGTATACAACGAAATGCGGTTTTTAACAGAAAAGCTAGGCAAAAAATGTAAGTATTTATTTAATTTATTCATGCACTAATTTTCTTTTGAATACTGTTTTTCTTGTATTGTTGTTTTATTACATCCTCTAACCTGCGGTTGCTGTGACTAACGCTTTACCGAGAACTGAACACACAAATATTTAGATTTTCTAACCTCTCTGAGGGTCACAAAAAAATAAGTGAGTCAATTTCCACAGTGGTCGTAAAGAGATAAGTGGTGTGGGGGCGGCAGTCTCAAAACTCAGCCGCAAAATGTCAAGTAATGACGTGTTCCAAGAATGGTCAAAACTTGAAAAAGGCTCCAGGGTCCATCCAAGCCTACAGCTCACCCCTGTCCTAGTCGTCCTTATAAGGATCCTGCAAATGTGTTGAGGGGAAACAGGAGGATAACCTTCCAGTCACCCAGTCACCCAGTCACACACACACACACACACACACACACACACACACACACACACACACACACACACACACACACACCCTGCATCGCAGTAGCTACCTTACTTCCCTCAGTTTGGCTCCTAATGCCATAAACCGTAGGATGTTATTGTCCCCCCTCAGGTCCCCAAAGGATTCCCTGGAAATGCCACAGCAACACTCTGTAACCATGAACAACAGAGTGTGGATCTGTCACCTTCCGGTGGGGGGCCGCAGGGCAGGGGAAGTTCTGGGTGGCCGGTAATCTTCCCCTGCTCACTCAACCCTGTCACCTAGGACTGTTTCTAGTCCCACACAGCGAGGGATATGTGTTCATGACCGTTTAGAACATTCGTAAGGTGAAGTACACTTGAGGCTTTGCTGGCAGGTCTCTACAGGTCCACACTAGCAGAAAGGATGTTCACCTGTGCTACCTGTCACTACCTTGCCTTAGCGGCTAGCCTGTCTTGTGTGTCAATAACAAACGTTACAACAGCTGAGATTTTTAACCTTTTACAAAAGCTCTTTGCATACTTGCCAGAAAAGTGATTCAGAATAAGTAATTGTTGCAGGACTTAATCATCTTCCGATGTGAGGAAACCAAAGCCCCAGAGAGAGACGAACATCAACAAAAACAGATTTGTGGTATTGCTGAGCGCTACAGTCACAGTCTGTGTATCAGTAAAATGCGTTTGTGTTTGTCTGTGTGTGTTTATGGTCATTATGATTCATACTGCACACGGACAGGACTGCTGATTTGGAAAAAAAGAACTGTGGTAAGCTAGCTGGGATCAGTAGGTAAACATGCACAAGGGAAGAGTATGTAAAGAATGCTACCATGACATCACATCTACCTTTGAGCCTACTTTAATTTAAAATAGTTTTGCAACTTAAAAAACATACATAGTAAACTTAAGCCATAGAAAGCTACTCTAGTGGTTCATAGTGTACAAGTAGAATTGACAGAAGAACATATAAACAACTGTTAGGACATGTTTATCACTGAGAACAGGCCTATAATGCTGGTATCAGTTAGCAGAATAGTTGTTGATGTTGAAAATGTAATAGACAGCAGTGTCTATGAAAGGGACTAAGGTTAGCTCAGGTAAGATGCAAGGGTTGTGTTAAAACCTGTTGGTCATTGGTGCTTGTCACAACAATGCTCTAAAACAGTCACTACTAATCATTATTGCACTGTATCTGTTATTAGCTATTGTGATAATGATTAGTAGTAGTGTTAGTAGCATATTCATAGTAGCCTTATAGCTAACAAGGTGTTATAAATTAAGTCTGGCGTCTCATTCTTTATCTTATCAAAAGCGTAAAGAAAATCGTTTTTTCTCACCCTCCTGGCCGTGAACACCTACGGAACAGACGCTAAAAGTGATCCAGAAACCGGCAATAAGAGACTTCACAGCATCCCGGATGTTTTCGCACTTTACAAGCATGATTTCCAGAGCTCGGCGTGAAAAAGTAAGGTGCAAGCCCCGCTGGCTCGAGCTTCTGGCCTCAGTAAAAGTTATAGTACAAAGTACTGGACGTCTACCATTGGCCACGAAGCGTAAACTCGACATCTCATTGGTTGCCTACAAGTGTCAATCTTAGAATCCCTAACATTCCATCCCCAAATAGGGGTGGGCTGATTTGTAGGTGTGTGCTGATCTGAGACCAGCCGTTGGCAGTAATACTGACGATTTACTCTTGTTTGCCAGAATGGCAAGACTGAACCTGGATCAGATTGGCATGTTCTTCTTGGGAGGCTGTTTAATAACATCAACATGAAGAATGATGCATTCTAGTGTCTATAATCTTTATGGTAAACCAACATTTCCCTTATCTTGTCTGTGACTTACTGACAACACCTACTGTACATTACTTTACTGAAATAAGTGGAAAGCCTGCCATCTGCTGGTGAATAACAGGCAATAACAAAAACACAGTACCAAACTGTTTTAAACAGCGTTTATTGCATGACAAACAACATTTAATTAGGCCACACAAGTGTAGAAGGTCAAGCAACGTAGTGTGGATATAACCGTCCGATAAAAAAAATATCATCTCGACAACCTTTGGGGTAAAAATATGTTTCTAACCCTGAAATCGTTCAGCACATGCGGTAAGGCTCAGAGAGAGTAGCTCAAACCAAGCCGCGCGCTTGCACATACGAGCAATTTGACCGATTTACACATCGCGTGCGAACTAACCGCTTCTCGTGACAGCGGGACAGATGCTTCTCAGGCAAATGCTGCCTTCACTGCAGGAAGTGTACCAGAGCAGCACGGCGCATGCTCCCCTCTCTCTGACAAGCAAGAGGATGAGCTATCTCCTGCTGTAAAACGGTAAGTTAAACTATGACAATACTCTTTAAAGTAGCAGACAGTCTGTTGAAGAGTTTTTGTGCAGACCCGGTGAGTTTTTGTGCACCCTCTGTGGGACAGTAGTGCGCGCCGTTGCACTGTTGTTGGTCGGGGTGTGCGTGCTGCCGCAGCGACAGACGTCAGTGTGAGATGGTGAAGGAGGGTGAGGAAGGCACGCAACTGTCTGTGCAGGAGTTGTTGATCCAACAGTGGCTTATTGGTGTAGTTTAAAAATATATGGTGTTTTTTGCTTCATGGAAAAGTTGTTTTTAGTTTATAACCGTTAAATTAACCTGACAATTGCTCATATCTCCACTAGTTCTATATGTGCTTAATGTCGCCTATGACTAACACCTCAGCTGCTGCTTGTTAAAGACCGACATATTATCATGGATATAATCATACTAGGCCTAATGCACCAACAGTGTGTTATTCATTATTGTGTGTCCGTTGCTGGGAACTGACCTCTTTTATAGTAATTCCCAATTACCATGTTACAAGTTAACATAAAATATGAATTAAGCCAAACAATTTCTTCTAATTATTTTCGGCTTTTATAGTTTTTTGTATGTATGTATGTGTGTGTGTGTGTGTGTGTGTGTGTGTGTGTGTGTGTGTGTGTGTGTGTGTGTGTGTGTGTGTGTGTGTGTGTGTGTGTGTGTGTGTGTGTGTGTGTGTGATGCTTTGTCTGTTGAACGTGCATGCGGCTATAAGCTGTGTCGCTGACACTGTTTATGTAAGTTGTTAATTGAAGTTCAAATGTTATATAAATGTCTAATCTAGCTGTATATAATATAAAATACATTCGAGGTATTTCCTGAAAATATCTCACATAGCTGAATTCGTTTTTTATGATTTTCATATTAAAGAATCTGCAAACTTTAGAAGTTCACAAACCAGCTTATAACGGTCCTCTTGCGTTTTATCAGGAGAGCATAACAGATATATAGAAGAAGAGATCAAGTTCACTACTGCCTTGTTATAACACCAGTGGCGTCAAAGGAGTGGAACACAGGTTACACGGACATTAGTGCAGAATACGGTTTTTTTTTTTATCACATTGCCAGGTGTCCTCATAATTTGACTGTAACCTTGTCATAATTTATTAATATTGATGGTAAAACCAAACATTATGAAAGCAGACACAAAGAAACACGTGTCCCTGTTTTTATCACGTTTTAATGATTTGTTTTTTAAAACTTGTTGACAACATTTGGTTCATATTCGTTGAGCCTTTTGTTACCATCCATGCGACAAACAAAGCGGCCTAAATGCAAAAAGGTTGGAAAAAATAGATGCTGGCTATATTTGAGAATTTCCCTCTAAATTAAAAACAAAACACATGCTGTAAATGCATTTTGACAATTATATTGCTTTACCATTTTATTAACCAGTTTACTACGGTTTAACTAAATACTATAGGTTTAAGTATAACATGTTATCTTTTGTCCATTATTTAGAATATTATGTATGTGCATTGTGCATATTAGCAAGGCCTGCCTACAGGATGGGAGGATTATATAATTCTAAGCCCGGCCAGTATGGATTCATTTCTGTGACAGTTGCATGCCAGAAAAACCCGTTGGGGGAGGCTTTCGTTGACTTGTGTGTGCATTAAATAGCACAATGCATGTATGTGTGTGTGTGTGTGTTATCTGGATGTTAACATGCGTGATTTGCCCTCTCTGCGTGCAGCTCGGCGGGGAGGGGTGATGGCGGCTGCTGAGGTCACTGTGTCTTCAGGGGATCTCATGACGGTGAAGGAGGAGGAAGGGGAGTCCAGTGGCAACAACCATAAGACTCAAGTCATCCTGCACCTGCATCCCATCGTCCATGGGTAACATGGACTATATTCTTAAAGGCCCTGTAGATAGACACAATAGAGAGGCATTTTTACACATATAGACACATTTGTATGAAGTTTAATGCTGATTTTAGCATGATTTTTTTCCAATCAAATATTATTACATTATTCTTCATGCATGCTGTTATATCCAGTTGAGTGCAGGCTTAAGTCAAATAAGATATCAATATTCTATTTGAAGAAATACAAAAAAAGCATTACAATTTTATGAAATGTTGATATGAATTAACTTCTGCTGTTTAATTGAGATCTATTCAACTCTCAGCTTGTATTAGATGATAATTTTTTGTTACATTTGAGGATGCTGTCGCCCTCTGCAGGATAAATGAGGATATTGCTGACACTGGCACGACAGTCTTGGCCATAGAGACACATCATGGTATGTCACACAGAGAAATGTCTCTTTACTGCTGACATTAAACTACAACATAACAGTATTCCTGTGAATGCTGTGCAGGAAGGCATCCTACTTTGTTGATGCAGTATAGTATACCTTATTGTATGATACTGAATGCTTTGCTGTTGATGTATAATAAACTTCCACAAAGTTTCTGCAAGTGGTTTTGTTTTTGACTTGTGATCTTCAGACAGTAAAGCAGAAGGAGAGGAGATTGAGTATGGCTACCCAATCACGTGCGGAGAAAGCAAAGCGGTTCTGCTATTTAAAAAGTTTGTGTGCCCTGGAATCAACGTCAGATGTGTCAAAGTAAGTTAAACCTTCCTCGCTCAATCAACATGATCATCGTTACATTTTCTCAGTTTGATAAAAGCATTCATGAACATGTTGTCCTCTGCTTTTCCAGTTCGACGACCAGCTCATCAGTCCCAAACAGTTTGTTCATCTGGCAGGGAAAGCCACTCTGAAGGACTGGAAAAGGGCCATCAGACTGGGAGGGGTAATGCTCAGGTACTCTTGTGAAAAAAAGTTAAAAACACCCTTTGTCTGCCCTCCTTCTCATAGCTGCTGACAGGTGCTAACTCTAAATATGCATGACCTTTATTTACTCTGTTGCATTGGGGTTAAAATGTCAGACTTCAACTCAATCTAATGAAGTCAACATCTTATATCATTCATATAATTTGCACTTGCACCGAGTCTGTCTGAGTTGGGGTTTGCCAGTACATTCCAGAGGCAGTCGGTAAGCAGCATTGTTATGGTAGCAGGATCAAATAACATGCATGCAAGCTGCTGAGTGAAACTTCTCACCCCTTTATCGTGTTTGCACTTGCTCCTGGTGTTACTGTGTGTCAATACACAGACTCAATATCTTCTCTTTTCATCTTTATTCCTCCAGAGGTCAGATCAATGGGCCTTGTGTCAAACAAACCTCTGTAAAGTTATCGAGATAGTTCAACAAATTCAATCCGCACTTGTTCTTTTAACCTGCTTCTCCCCCTCATAGGAAAATGATGGACTCCGGCCAGATCGATTTCTACCAACATGACACAGTGTGCAGCAACACCTGCCGCAGCACTAAATTTGATGTGCTGATCAACAGCACGCGGCTTCCTCTGGGGACAGCAGTGCAGCCGAGCCCGACGTGTCTGGCTCTTGACCTTGTTGGAGGACAGGTGTCTCCTCTGACAGGTAGATTTCAGTTGGCATTGATAGTTTGATATTCTTTGGCTCGTTTTTGTTATTGTAGCATTGAGACACAAACTGTTCACCTGGATCGGATTCTTTAGTTTCTAACAATTCTTCAAGCTCAAGCACAATAAGGAATTAGGAAATGAGCTGAACATAAAGAGCAGTCAGGTCCATCTATCTATCTATCTATCTATCTATCTATCTATCCATCTATCTATCTCTCTCTCTCTCTCTCTCTATCTTTCCATCCATCTATCTATCTATCTATCTATCTATCTATCCATCTATCTCTATCTCTCTCTCTCTCTCCCTATCTATCTATCTATCCATCTATCTATATCTCTCTCTCTCTATCTATCTATCTATCTATCTATCTCTCTCTCTCTCTCTCTATCTATCTATCTATCTATCTATCTATCTATCTATCTATCTATCTCTCTCTCTCTCTCTCTCTCTCTCTCTCTCTATCTTTCCATCTATCTATCTATCTATCTATCTATCTATCTTTCCATCTATATATCTATCTATCTATACCTACTTACTGATACTGCACAGAACAAGTATAACAATAACAAACTACTGGATTTCCTTGGCATCTTTTCAATGCCTACTCATGTCTGATAATATGAGATGTTTAAACACTTTATTTACATACAATATATAATTTTTTGCAGTTATTTCAGCTGAAGCTGTGCACGAGG